CTTAGAATAATGAGGAACTACGCAGATGAAGATTTTGTTCCTCGCAGGATGTCTTCAGCTGGTGTAATCTTGTCCTGGAGCATCACAGCATCACCGGACCATTGAGGTCTTAGCTGTGACCAGAGGCCAAAATGGAGTTATGTCTTGAAATGTCGTAGCTGGCCTGTAGGCAGGAGAACTACACCTGATCAAATGATTTTTCCCCGAAATTATGTAGAATTGCTCCCGGGACCCACCAATACATGAGGCTTTTGGAATGAGAGGGCCTTCCAGTTCCAAACCATAGCAAATTGCTTTGGAAATCCCACAGGTTTCAACAAAATATATGTTTCATAGTGTAATCATGGGCAAAATATATGTTTCATAGTGTAAGCATGCTCTGGAATTTGGAACTTAGGCTATTTTGGCTTTTGAAATGTAAATGAAAATCAAAGGTATTTAGGTTGTTGTTAATGGTTTTAATATATCAGCTCTCCAGGGCTGGGGATTTAGCTCAGTGGCAACGCACCTGCCTTGCAAGCACAAGGTCCTGAGTTCGATCCCCAGTACCAAAAAACAAAGCAAACAAAAATATATCAACTTTCCTGAGGGTTTGAAACCTTGTAATTATTAGGAACAAATGTAAAAGCAGAAAGCCCTCTATTTTTAGGTATCTTTTTCTGTACATTTGTAGTGCTAGATTTTGAAACCCTGGGTGGGCGGAGTGGGAGAATTCAGTGTTAGTTCACTTAATCTTCATGATGCCCCATGTTTTCTATTGATTTTAGCATTTCATAGGTGAGGACACTGAATGACACTCAGGCATAGGCAGGGACTTGCTGAAGGGGGTGAGCAGGATGGAAAGCATATGTGTCCAGATACATGGCCAGCAGGTGGTGGGCTAGGCTGGTGCGCAATATCTAGAGTGGTGCATTAAGGAGGGATGGAAGGATGGTGCAGTCAGTGTCTGTGGCCTACATGCCGGGTGCTTGGTCCTTCACGGAACCCTGCTCACAAGGTTTCAGAATCACCCTATCTCACAAAGGAGTTGGCAGGGTGGCAGGTGGAAGCAGGGTTCCTAGTCTAATTTATTAGTCCCTTGACCATATTTCATGTCCAACAGAAAGGGAGATGAGATGAGAAAGAAGGCTTGAGTGTCCAAGTGTTGATTTGCCTAAATCTTGTCTTCCACTTTCAGGAAGGTGGCACAGTGGGGTAGGAGAGCACATGGGTCAGGTGGGGTCCAGGCTTGGCCGTGGGTGACAGCACAGCTGCTCACTGAAGGACACTAGTTAACAAGACAGACTCCATATTGCTGCTTAACGACCCACTTGCCTGCCCTTTAGATGAACTCAGAAGGAGGAAGCTTAAAAAACCTCCGCTCCTTAGAAAGTCTCTTTAGAAGTAACAATTAATCAACTATTGTTTTACAAATGTTCTAACAGCAGGACATTCTGCTTCTGTACCTTTTGCTTGCTTTACTAGTTCTATCCCATAGGGGGCCCTAGAAACTGCTGGCCTCAAAGTTCCATAAAATATGTTAATACCCCCCCCCCCAGTCGAGGCTCGAGTCCGATGCCGGCCAGTAATAAACTCCTGTGTGGATTTAATATCCGTCTCTGGTTGGTTCTCTCTCACTGGGTGTAACACTCACTACCTCTTTTCTCACTAGGAAAATGAACATCAAGGGCGGGGATTTAGCTCAGTGGCACCGCACCTGCCTAGCAAGTGCAAGGTCCTGAGTTCGATCCCCAGTACCAGCAAATACAATAAAATAAAATGGACATCAAACACCACCATGGAATTTGCTGGCCTGTTTAGGAGATTAAATCAGATAACACATTTTTTTTTTTTGTAACTCAGCAAGAAATGAGTCACACTCTCACTTGGCCATAGTGTTAGTGTGCTTGACTGGAGGTCAAGCTTTATCTAAGACATGGCTCCTTCTGCCTTGTACCCCATGCCCCAGGGCCTGGAGTTCTGTGTCCAGTGGACAGAAGAGGAGCAGCCAAGAATGGCCCTCAATTCTTAAATTCTGGATATGAGTCACATCTCACTTCCACTCACATTCCATTGGCCAGGATGTCTGGATGGATAGGGAGAATACGCATCTGTGTTAACCAGTTGGCTGTAAACAGAATTTCTCATGTTCAGTGTTTAGAATGACCTCACATCCTTTCCAGTCACATCTACACCGCTGACACCCCTACATGACTTAGCAAGAAATGTCACACTCTCACCTGGACATAGTGTTAGTGTGTCAGGGTACTTGACTGGGGAAGGGGTAGGTCTCAGGCACATCAGCCAAATAGAGAACTGCTCCCAGATCCCTCCACGTTGTATCTGAGGCAGTCCAAAAAGACAAAAAACAAAACAAAAAAACTGATGCATTAAAATGTTTCTCATTTTTGTTTTGAAAATGTGAGCCATTGGATTTCTTCATATGGTTGATCTAGGGAGACACAGTGCTGTTAGGGTTAGGCTCAGATTTGACACACAGCTTTTTTTTTTTTTTTTGTACCAGGGATCAAACTTGGGACCTTGCCCTTGCCGGGCACGGGGCAGAACCACTGAGCTAAGTCCCCGGCCCTGCAATATACTTTTTTTCTGTTTTGTCCATGGGGATTGTTTGCAAAGATAACTGTTTCCAAGCACCCTGTCAAGATGAATGCTGAAAGAGGCAAAAATTGACTACAGATGAGGAAACCAGGAGTCAAATCTTTAATAGGGAAGACAAGATGATATAGAACACGAACGCTGGGGAAGAAGCCTGCAAATATTTTGCAACCAAGAAACTCTGTCAGCTCTTTTTTCCTGGGGGTCTGCAATCGGCCTTTCACAGGCTGGGCTCAGTGAGCCCAGATGAAGGGGATTTCCTCTGGATTCAGGGCGGTCCAGGGAAGGAGCATAAAGCATTTTTCCACGGTGTAGCTAATGCCAGTCAGGTAACAGACACAGTGAGAGGGCCAGGAAGAAGGGCAGCCTGCTTCCTGGAGGAGGCCGGCTGAGGTCCTTAGAAGATGCCCATCTACTTCGTCCAGGGGATGTGAGGTTGTCCTCTCCCGGGTAATGGGTTTCTAGGGCCCGCCCTGACATGCCCCACCCAATAATCCCACTCCTTCTCCATCTCTCCCTAGCTTTTCTTCCTGCCTTGTCCTGCCCCCTATCCTCATCGGTATTAGGGATGGAACCTAGGGCTTTTGCACTGCTACATTCCTAGCCCTTTATTTATTTTAAAAATTTCAGACTGGGTCTCGCTAGTTGCTATGTTGCCAGCTGGGTTCGAACAAGCGATCCTCCTGTCAGCTTCCCCGAATGCCAGGATTACAGGTGTGCACCACCACGACTGGCCTCCTCTGGCTTTTAACCTGGGTGTTTCTCAGGCATAGTGGGGGCTCAAGAATTCCATGCAGACCTCGCTCTGGCAGAACATCCCGTTTCTGTTCCTTATATACATATTCATACATGCAAGCTACGAAACAAAATAAAATGATTCCCACAAGCCCACCACCAACTTTAAACATGGGGATCCCTCCATATTCAGTGATGCCGTGAATTTCCCCTTGCTTTTCTTCCCTTTTTCCACAGCCTTATCCTACAACAGGAAGGAGGGAGGGAGATTGAGGCAGCCGCGCCGTCCCTCAGGTTCCCGGGTACCTGGGAGGCCACCTAGGGTTAGAATTTAAGTCTACAACTGCCGGTTTCGACAAGCACCACCCCAGGTGGCAGCAGGACCCGCCCGGCTTTCTGGGGGGCGTGGCCACACAAGCTCAGCGGCGGCCTCGAGGGCCAGTGGCGTCATCAAGCGGCGCGGGTCAGGGTCTCACGGCGGCCGCGCTGGTCATTGGCGTCGTCAGGTGGCGCGGGCCAGATTCTCACCCCGGCGCGCCGGCGTAGGTGACCTGGCTTTTGGAGCGAGCACGGGCGGCATGAGCGGCTGCAGGCTCCTCATGCGTAGGGTTGCGGCGGTGCGAACCTGCCAGGCTCTGGTGGCCCCTAGGGCGAGCTGGCGTTTGCTGCGCACCGGTCCGCCGCGGCGATCGTTCGCCAAGGAGCTTTTCCTGGGAAAAATAGAGAAGGTGAGGCGAGCCCGGGCCGCCCTTGCTCTCTGGCGCCCGCCTTTCGTCCGTAGCAGCGAGAGTGGGATCCAGCTTTGTCAGAGTCCCCAAACCTGCCCGACAAACCTGCATGCGAGCGGCAGGGCGTCCTAACACTCTGTAGGCCCCCGAGTCCCCCTGGCACCTGCGGTGGGAAGGTGCGGACCTTTCCGGGCCGAGCGCGGGGAATGCGGTGTGGACCGTGCCGCGGCTCTTCCTGCTCGGGGGATACGTGAAAAAGCCGAGACGAGGGGGGCGAGTCATTGCACCGCCCTTCCTCAGGTCCGGGAATGCGCCAGGCCTGCACTCAGAACGCAGCGCAGTCCATTCCACTCTTCCCGCACTTTCCAGGGACCTGCGGCTTTTTTGACTAAGCCGAGCCCTAGCTTCATCCTGCTGTTGGGAGGACCTCGAAAATTTGGCTCCAAGGGCTCTTTCAAACGACATCCCTTTTAGAGATCCCAGAATCCATCTAGTAGCAACAACGTGGCTGTAAAGCACTCATCTTCTTAGAGTCCGGGGACTTGGATTTTACCTTAGCTCTGTGACTTTGAACTTCGGTTCTTTCAGCCTTAAAATGGAGCTAGTAATGTTACCCTAGTGAGATACATAGTGTGTGGAAATTAGGTATTGTGCAGCCAGAGACAGCGCTGGCTTCAACATTTACTAGCTTTGTAACCTTGTGTTAGTCCCTTCACTTTTCTGCCTCAGTGCTTTATTGCAAAATAGGAGTAAGCACAGGACTTGGTTCCCCCTTGGAGGTACCAGGCTTTGAGCCTGGGCAGAATGGGGTTTGATCCTGGTTGGTGGAAGCAGTCACTTCCTGCTTTCACTTTAGAACAGTCCTCTCATGTTGTCAGGTCAGACCCTTAAGCAGAACTATGATGCAGAAGCTGAGACTTAAGACTGAGAGTGATTTGTCATGCTAGAAAATATGGAAGTAAGACTTTAAGGTGCGGGAAACCTCGGCTTGTAGGTGCCTTGTTCAGGGGCCTCAGGCCTGCAAGCAGTGTGGTAAAGAAAGAACTCAAATCTCTTGTACTTCTTCCAGTCTTTGAGCCTCTGGCCTCACCTTCCCTTTCCTCACTGGCCACTGTTTCATTTCTTCATTCACTGAGAACATTGTGCAGCCAGATGAGAACTGCCACTTTCAACCCCCACCCCTCCTCAGTTACCTGTCCTTTGCTGTCTCCATTCTTCTATTATGACACATGAACTGTCTACTCCTAGCGAAGGCTTACCTGGTCATTAGACCTCAGCCTTCTCATCTACTCAAGGGTAATTCTCTCCTTTCTCATTTATATCAGTTGTTCCTTCTGTTGGATCTTGAACTTGTACCATTCAGGCTTTGTAGGGACCAGTAATGAAAGTCAGTAGTGACCTCCATGTGGTCAAATATAAATATATCCTGCTTGACCCTTCAGTGGCATCTGATGCAGACCAGCAATCTACCTTCTTTAGTCACCTAACTCCTGAAAAATCACTATCCTCAGTCTCCTTTCTTGGTTCCTTCTGGGCTCCTTGACCTCTAGAAATTGGCCAGTGTTTCCCACTAGTCTCATTGGAGTGGGAGTTTTCCAAGGCTAGTCTGTAGACTTCGCTTTTCATTGACATCATCCCCTTGGTGACCTAGTTCAGTGTCCTGGCTTTAAATAACATTTGTATCCTGCTGACTCAAATTTATTTCTCCTGTGGAGATTTTTCCCTTCAACTCTAGATTCTTTTTATTTCTCCTTTTCTCTTCAGGAGCTCCGCTTAGATGTCTGATAGACATCTTTAAGTATCATATCTGGAAAATTGCCCTGATCCCTACCCAGTCCTGCTTGTCTCCTCAGCCTTTGTCATGGATAACGGTCACGCTGGAGTTCTACTGATTTAGCTCAACCTCCTGGAGGGACCTTTGATTTCTGTTACTCTCATAGTTCATGTCTAATCCTACCGTGAATGCTTTATTCTCTATGTTCAGGTTCTATTCAGAATCCAACCACTTAGGTACCTTCACAGTGACTACTCTGGACTAGGCCACCCACTTCCATGATTCTCATGATGACCTTGAGTCAAGTGTACATATAGGTGAGAAAATAGAGGCTCAGAGAGGTAATGCGGTTTGTCAATAGCCTCACAATTAGTAAGCAGGACACGACTAAATCCAGGGCACCTAAATGTGAGTCCCAGGGTCCTTTTCTGTGGAACAGTCTTCATCACTTGCTATTGATAAGGAAGCTGATGAAAATCAGGATCGACCTGTCTGTGCTGAGAGGAAGATGGACATGGGCATCTTACAACCAATTTTTGTATCTGAAGCCCCTTGAGAGGTTTGTTTTGTGCATCTTTCTGCTTTTTGTTGTGCTCTGCTGGCCAGGTGTGGAATCAAGAACATCTTTTTCCTTCCCTTTGACTAATGTTGTAAGTGGCTTAAAATTTAATTTTAACCGTATGTTTATCATTTTTAGAAAGGAGTTTTCCCATTTCCAGAGGTGAGCCAAGATGAGCTTAATGAAATCAATCAGTTTGTGGGACTTGTGGAAAGATTCTTCGCTGAAGAGGGTATGTGTGGTTTCCTGTATCATCACCCATTTCTATGGTAAAAGTGGTTGTGTTGGCATTTGTATAAGAAGCATGGCACAGAGGAAGCCCTCCTGAGTGTCCTTGATGAGGCCAAAATAGTTGTCACTCAAAGTATTTTGCCTCAGGGATCCTTGAAGTTGCTCCTTAATGAAAAGTCTTCTAGTTGAATCGTCTGTGTGTGTCTGTGGTGAAGGACCACTTGAGACATTTCCAAACTGCTGCAGACCAGCACTTGTATAAAATACAACAAAAGTTGAGTAACTAGAATAATAGATGACAGAAGCTACCGCATGCATAATCCCAGCCTGTGGCTCATGGGTTGGTGAGTGTGGTGTGTAAGATGCTTTAGATGTGCCCAAAGGCTGAGTGTGGATCTGTCCTGAGCAGTTTGTTTGTTTTTTTTTGATTTTTGAAGCAGGGTCTCGCTATATAGTTCAGGCTGGCCTTAAACTCACTGTATAGCCCAGGTGATCCTCCTACCTTAGCCTCCCAAGTGCTGAGGTTGCAGGTGTGAGCCACCACATGTCCTGAGCATTTTATGAACCAGCCATGAGCCTCAGGGCAGTGGACCATACCTTAATAGGGGCTGAGGTCCCTTGCATGAAGGCCCTCGTACAAGATTAGCAGCAGCCCTTCCTCAACACTGAGGATTCCAGACAGCATTTGTTTAGTGGGTGTTATCTACTAGTATTTGTCCCATCAGGAATTAAAACAGAAATCAAAAAATATTGTTTATTACTTTAGACTAAAAATGATGTAAACCTGTTAAATGTTAAAATATATATGTGTGTCTATGCAAATGCACATGTATGTATGGTTTTTTTGTTTGTTTTTTCTACTGGGGACCAAACCCAGGGCTTTTGCACTAAGCTGCATCCCTAGCCCTTTTAAATTTTTTTACTCTGAGATAGGATCTCACCAAGTTGCTAAGTTGCCTGGGCGGGGCTTGAACTTGTGATCCTCCCTGTCTCAGCCTCCTGGAATGCTGGCATTATAGGCATGCATTAACATCTCTTTGTATTTTTAACCTGTCTTTATTTCCTTAGCCCCTTGTTCCTATACTATCTGATTTGTCAGCTCCCCTAAGCTTTATTGATTTATGAATAATTTATAAAAAATTGTACATGTTTAAGTTGTACCCTCAGGGACCATTAACACACCCAAGATGATGAACATACATATTATCCCTAGAAGTTTCTTCTTTCACCTTCATTCCCTCCTTGTCCCCAGGTAACCACTGATTTGCTTTTTCTTAGATTCCGTTATGTTTTCTGGAATTTTACTTAAATTCATACATTATGTGTTCTTGTTTAGCTTTTTTGGGAACAATTTTGGGTTTCTTTCATGTAGCCTACACCAGTTTTCCTTCTTCTTTAGGGCTGAAGAGTATTTCTTTGTATGGTTATCCCTAGTGTTTATCCACTTAGTAATTGGCATTTGGTCTGTGTGCCCATCTTAGCTGCATGGCCTGACATTCCATTCAGTCCTGGGAGTTGTGTACTTTGTCTCTCATTTTGTAGAACATATTGGTAATTTTGTAAGAAGTGAGTGTGGCTACAGTAATCTACCTCTCATCAATGTGTTATTTGTTGGCATTTTTCACAGTGAAAGCACCCAGGTAAGCAAACAACCCCACTGAGACTAAAAAAATACAATCCTTGCTGGGCTAGTTATGTAAAATCAAACACATGCAGATAATTTCCAGTTTTGAGAAATGTCTGGGACCAGTATGCTATACAAAAATGATTGTGCGTATTTCTACAGTATTTGTTTTAGCACAGCTTACTTCTGTTTTGCCTGATTAAGATATTTTTTCTTTTCTTGTCAGTGGACTCTGGAAAAATTGACCGGGAGGGGAAAATCCCAGATGACACTTTGGAGAAGCTGAAGAGCCTGGGGCTTTTTGGGATGCAGGTCCCAGAAGCATATGGTAAGCCATGGAAGTGGGCCTGGCTGTCCCCTTTCCAGAAGGCACCCTGCTCTTGTCCCTAAGAGGCTGCTGTTCAGGAAAGGCAGCTTCCGGATGCAAGATGCCTATAGCCTGTAGAGAAGTGTGGCTCTGGGCTCTGTAGCCTTCACTGCCCTCCCAGCCCTCTCGGGGGCTGCTTCTGCCATGGCCAGCTGAGGGTCTGGAGGTGTGGACACACGGCAGGCAGCTTGCACTTCTGGTTGCTATTGGTCCTTCTCAGAAGACAGACTGTTTGGGGTGCTTTCCAGCTGTATGCTGATGTGGGTCTTGGTCAGCAACATAGCAGCAGGGAGCTTTTCTTGCACTTCTGTCACCCTATCTGGTCTGTCTCCTGGGGCTAAAGTAGGGCTTCCTTTCTATGTGTTTAAGGAGCTGGGGCTGGGGCAAGTCTGTAGAGTAAGTCCCCTCTGACACACAGCCCAGAACTGGGCCGGGGAAAAACTAAAGACTTATGAGCAGGTGCCTGCTTCCTTCCGTGGTGCATGGATCAGGTGGAGTGTGTTTGTGTTCCTTACCGTGTCTTCCTCGCTGTCCTGTTAGATCCTCTCCCACTCCCAAGCGTATGTGAGAGTTTGTCCTGCCTCTGCAGAGGACCTTACCTGTCCCACCAGGCTGCTGGCCCTATGGGGCAGTGCAGTGTTCATGTCTGTGGTGGTGGACAACCCCGTGTGTCCATGTGGAAAGAGCTGCAAGCCGTCCCAGCCACCTGGCACCTGGGTGGGGACTCCTGACCCACAGGGGTGCTGTCGCTGTGTCATCGGTGGCTATGCCAAGTGCTGAGTGTGAGAGGAGAAGGGAGGTGTGGAGTTGGGATGGCTCTGCTCTACTGTCAGCAGCTTAAAAGTAACAGCAAGGCAACGGGAGGAGCCTCAGAGTCAGGCCTGCAAAGTTTGGGGAGGCTTTTCAGGCCAGAGAGTCCTGAAGCCTGGTGGAAGCCACTGTGCTGGAGCCCTCTATGCCTAGGTACACCTGTCCCTGGGGCCACATCTCCTCATGCTCTTGGTTCTTCCTTGTCTGTGTCCCTGTGGGCTTGTGTCCCCTAGGATCCTACCCATGTGCATGAGGGGAAAGCATCTTAAGTTTCTGCAGAGAAAACTCAGGATATGACAGGAGCAGCTGGACCCTGACCTGCATGGATGCTGCCACAGTCTTTGTGTGTGTGTGTGGATGGTGTCCTCTGCCGGCAGGGGCTCTTAGAGAGGTGATACTCACTGAAGGAGAGTTTTTGTTTGGTTTGTGGGTTTTGTTTTTGTTTTGAGACAGTCTTGCTGTGTAATCCAGGCCTGCCATGAACTTGCTATGATAGCCCAGACTACCCTCAAACTCTCAGTCCTGCCCCAGCCTCTTGAGTGCAGGGATTACAGATGTGCAAACCACACCTGGCTTTTGTTCCTCAGGGAACATTTGGCAATATCTAGATATATTTGGTTGCCCTGCAGTCTGCTAGGTGCTAGGTACCTAGGGGTAGTGGGTAGTGGGGTGCTAGATAGTGAGGTAGTGGGGTGCTAGAGGGTTCTGTATCTGGCAGAGGGCACCATTATGAAGTGGTTTGTTGTGGTTTAAATGTTTATATATGTTTGTATAAAGTCTGAGAGGATGTACATAAAAATGCTCTTTGTGAGTGATAGGATTATGGGCAATTTTTGTTTGCTTTTATTGTGGTTTTTAAAATGGTAATCTGGTACTGGTTTATTAGTAGGAAAGCAGGGCATGGTTTGCTTTCTGGGAGGAGTTGGGCTGATGTGCCTGACGCTGCCCTGTCTCTCCTAGGTGGCCTGGGCCTCTCCAACACCATGAGCACTCGGCTGGGGGAGATTGTCAGCCTGGATGGATCCATTGCTGTGACCCTGGCAGCACACCAGGCGCTTGGCCTCAAGGTCAGCTGTCTGGGGTTTCTGTTGGCAGCTGTCTGGAGACGGCAGGAGGCGGGGGCCTTGTTCACGCCATGGGAATGGCTCAGGGTCTCGGAGGAGAGCAAGCCCAGCTGCTCTTGCAGCCCTGTCCTCCACTGGACCCGCATGTGCAGTGGTCTTTGGCTCATGCTGTCCCTTGGCAGTGAATCCCCTTCCTGTCCCCAGCATGTTTGACCTATCTTTAAAGGCCCAGGTCTGAGGCAGCTCTTCATGCTGTTCATCAGAGCTGTTCCCTTGCTGTCTGAACACAAGCCTCCCTCTCCCCAGGCTCAGCACACTGGGACAGAATACACAGTGCTTAGTGGCCTCTCATCAGGGCTACCCTTACTCAATGTAGATTTCAGAGCCAAAAGAGTCCTGTGCGCAGCCCCCCACCCCCACCCCAGTGACACCAGCTGTCACCACAGTCATTTGGCAATAAGATGGGGGCCGCTCTAACAGGGAGCAGCACCTTCTCTTGCAGGGTATGGTTCTAGCATTCCTGCATCTGCACACTCATCCTCCAGATCACCTGCCTGTGAGGGGCATCCCCAGCTTATAGATTGCAGGGGGTGGGGCGCTGAGAGCAGGAACAGTCGTTGTCCAAGACCACCTGACCTGGCTGGGAAGATGTTGGATGAATGTGATGAACTAAGCCCCGAGCTCTGCTGGCTGTGCAGGCCACTGCCGGGCAGTATGTGGCCCGGCCCCTGCAGCACTCTGGCTCCCTGAAGCTGGCGGCCCCGGGCTCCCACTGTCTCCTCTTGAATGAAGTAAAGGCCAACCCTGAAGGATGGTGTCTCATGAGCACATCTCTGCTCTCTGCCTCCCAGCATATATGACATGTTAGTCTTTGTGTGTTTGGTTTAGGGGATCGTCTTGTTCGGCACAGAGGCGCAGAAGGCCAAATACCTGCCCAGGCTGGCCTCTGGGGAGCATGTCGCAGCCTTCTGCCTCACGGAGCCAGCCAGGTCTGTCTCCCTTGGCATGCCATCTGCAGCCTGTCTCCAGGACAGAAGGCTTGTCTGGCTTCCCTGTCTGAAATCTTCCTCTCAGTGTGAAGACCCTTCTTGCCAGCTGTCTGCCCAGGGAGACTTACAAATGTCCAAATGACCTAAGGGTGTCTGTCAGCCAGTGTCTGTGGCTTTCCACCCCTGTGGCATTCAGGGATGTCATCAGGCTTTGGTTCACCTCACAGAGCACATGGGCTAGGGGCTGGGTCTCATTTCTAGGTGAGGAACGAAGGTCAGGAGTGGGTGGTGGTGTGATCAGCCCAAGGTCACAAAGCTGGATGGAGCAGGGTTGGGGGAGAACTTGACTGTGGATGGCAAGTCTGTCACTCTGACTACTCAGATGGGGACTTGTCGTGGTCACCTCGTGGGACACCTGAATGTCTCCTCACAGCAGCTCAGATAAGCCCACAAGGAGCCCAGGTTCTACAGTAGTCTAGACCTAAATTGTTACCACCTCCGTCTTTACCGCCTGTGTATTGACGCAGAGGTGGCCAGATCCAGTCTGCCCCCTGTTTGTGTCTTGAGATTTCACTGGAATGTGGCCCCAGAGTCAAGGAGGACAGATGTCCTGTACCTGGGAAAGCTGGGTGACCTTCTCTGTCTGACTGTATTTAAAAGCTTGCCAGTGCCTGTATCTAATCACCTCTCTTTCCAGGTTCCAGGTCTGTCCTTCTTTATTCCCAACGTTGTTCTCCTTCTATTGCATCTTTCCCTCTGCTGCAGGAACGATGCTGCCTCCATCCGGAGTAGAGCCACACTGAGTGAAGACAAGACTCACTATGTCCTTAATGGCTCCAAGGTACGGCCGTGGTGGGCCTCAGTCTGAGGCTGGCAGGGTGGAGATGGAGCCGAGCAGCATCTCCAGGGCCTGTCTGCTCTCTTTGCTCAGGTCTGGATCACCAACGGGGGACTGGCTGAGATTTTCACCATGTTTGCAAAGACCGAGGTGGTTGATTCTGACGGCTCTGTAAAGGACAGAATCACAGCATTCATAGTAGAAAGAGACTTTGGTGGAGTCACTAATGGGAAACTAGGAGATAAGTTAGGCCTTCGGGGCTCCAATAGTAAGTGTTGTGTGTGTTTGTGTGTGTGCACATGCACACTTGCATGTGGGACAGAGAGGGACTGATCTTTCACTCTGTCAAAATATCAAGGTAAAATGATGTTAAAATCTTCTGGTTTCAATTCAGCATTTTAGCAAAATTCAGTCAAGGGTGCCCCCTGGACTTCTCTGGCTATGCCCAGGAGCTCCTGGAAATTAACTCATGAATTGAGCAGCCCTGGGCTGTGCACCACTCAGGGTGTTGAACTTTGGTGAGTCCTAGGGGACTGAGGCCAGTAGAGCTATCCGCCTTGGGGTGGGGGTTGGCAGTGGACCTCATGGTGGCAGGACATCAGGTGTTTTGAATCACTGTCCTGTGATAGGCCTTCCATCTTTGCTGTCTGGAAGCTCTGTGTTCATCATGCTCCCCTTCTTCTACTGAGACTCTGGGAGCACTGGGTTCACAGGATGCAGGTGTCCTGTTCATTGTCCTCAGTCCTGGTGGTGCCCTGGGGTCTTCACAGTGCTGTGCCCCTTGGGTCTCCTACTTCTGATCTCAGGTCTCCATCCCAGAGGGCACTACATATGCCCTGGGCACCTTTGGATGCCCTGTATATTTAGGAACTTTGCCTTCGGGGTGAGGTTTTAGCATACACCCCACTTGGGCTGGAGGGGGAAGGGACAGAGGCCCTGAGCTCTGTCTTGTGTGGCTGTAAACAAGCTTGTGTGGTCCTCTTCAGTGTAGTTTGCTCAGCTTTAGGAAGGGGAGGTCCATGTGCAGTACCTGTTGTGCCTGTGATAGCGCCTCAGCGCTAGCTGCTTCCCTGAGACTGACCACTCACCAGTGCTGCCCCCTGGGGTCTCCTCAGTGTGGTAGCTGAGGGAGGAGAGGTACTGAGACCCTCTGCTCAGGAGGAGCCTGGCATGGCATCAGGAGACGGGGGCTGGGTCCTCTTGGACGTCTGGCAGGTGGTGCCCTGGGTCCGTGCAGGGTCCTAAGTGAGAAGGTCAGATGGCACAAGGTGAGGCCAGAGGATGAGGCAGGGTATCACTTGCACTCTGCCTTTGACCCTGGTCCCACTGCCAGAGACCGCAGTGACTTCATACTCTCTGGCATGGCTGCTGTACGTGGTTGAATGATTAGCAGAACCAGCCTGCCATGGCTGGTCTGGATCCCCTTGAGCCCCAACCTTCCCTGTCCTGAACCTCTTTTCTCTGGTGAAGATGGCCAGCAGGGGCCATGTTTATGTAATGGAACATGAGAATGAGAACACCCCTTGTTTCAGGGAATACTGCAGATGCTGCTGCACCCCCTCCCCCCATGCCCACTGTGTCTCATCCCCCACTGTGATTGGCCTTGCCCTTGGTGCACATCTAACTTCAGGGTTACTGTCTGCCTGGCAGACACCAGAGCCAGCTCAGCAAGGGCACTTTCTTTCTCACATTCTTTGAATGCTGGGCAGGCTGTGGGTCAGCTCAGGTAGCCGTGGATTTGCATTATCACTGGGGTATCTGCACTCCAAGGCCTGTGCTCCTGTTGTGTCATCTGCTTCCTTGACCCAACCTGGATCGGGGCCAGGGAGAAGGAGGGCTGCCCTCCTGATGGGGTGCTGGTGGTGGTGGTGGGATCATGGCCACTGCCCCTGCAGATAGCTTGGGGCCGGGTTTTGTTAGAGTTAGGAGCTGGGACCAAGAATCCTATCCCCCTGCGGCCTTCAGAAGTGCTTGTGCATGAACTTGACTGCGCCACTCTTTTCGTCCTTTAAACTTCTAGACGTTCCCTTAGCAGGTTGGCCCAGTTCTTAGTGCAGCAATTATCCAGCCCTCTACCTCCCAGCTCTATCATTGTCCTCTGTGTATTCACCCATAGCACAGACCACACTGTTGACATCGAGTAGTTTAATCAGCCTCCTTGACCCAAGTATGAGCTCCCCAAAGACATTTGTGCCTCTCTGTACTGTCCATCCTGATGTTGAGTGAATGAATGAATGAATGAATGGTGTGCCTGTTCAAGTGCAGAGTGGTTTGCATTGTTAGGTAAGGTGTTAACTTTTCTCTGTTTCAGTTTGTGAAGTCCATTTTGAAAACACGAGGGTGCCTGTTGTAAATGTCCTTGGAGAAGTCGGAGGTGGCTTTAAGGTGAGTTGCCTGCCGAACCCCAAGTGAATGCTGTTCACTCTTCCAAGTGGGTACCTGGCCCCACTTGTCTAATTCATTCTGAAGTTTACACACCACCTGTGAAAAAGCTGGGTAAGAGGCGTCACCATTTTTATATCCTTGAGCCATGTTGCCAAGTGTCTGCAGGAACAGTGGACAGGTTTGTGCTATTTTTAGCAGTGGGGAAGAAAGCCCACCCACCTTTTTTTTTTTGGTACCTGGGGTCAAACTCGGGTCCTTGCACTTGCAGCAGGCGGCGAAACCACTGAGCTAAATCCCCGGGCCAGAAAGCCCATTTTTACAGTACTAGGATAGCCAGACTTGGTAGTGTCTGCTTGTAACCCTGGCACTCTGGAAGGCTGAGGCAAGAGGATCACAAGTTCAAGCCAACCTGGGCAATTTAGCATGATCCTGTCTCAAAATAGAAAAGTAAGTTGGGCTAAGTAGTGCATGCCTGTAATTCTAGCACTTGGGAGGCTGAGGCAGAAGGATTGCCAGGAGTTTGAGGCCTGGGCCACACGGTGAGATCCTGTCTCAAAAGAAAAAAAAAATTCAAGAAAGAGCTGAGATATCTCAGTGCAAAGGCCCTGGGTTCAATCACTAGTACTGCCACACACACACAAAAAGGTGCTAGAATTGAACCCAGTGCCTTGTACATGCTAGGGAAGTGCTCTACCATGGAGTTATATCCCAAGCCCCAGCACTATTTTTTAAAATGTTGTTACTGTGATTGGTAAAAAATGACCATTTTAATATGCAAAGGAAAATTTATTTCTGAAGTTATTTGTTGTTCCCAGTGAGATTGCTGCCAGTTAGGCTAAATACTAAAACGAATGGTACACTTGATTGAATCTTGAAATCATAAACCAATAACAGACCAGGTGAGAATTGGGTAGGCTGAAGTGAGGTGAAAGTGAGGATTTTCCCTCTGGAATGCTCAGAAAATCTGATCAGCAGAAACACAGGTAACAGGAAGGGGCTACTGAATTTTACTTTGGGGAAGTTGGGATCTAGAATGTGGCTGTGAGCGTTATGGAATGCCTCTTGTGGTAGAGGAACTGAGGACCCATGCAGGTGTTGAGAAGGCCAGTGCACCATGGGACAGTTTGGAGGGTCCTCAAAAGGCTAAGAATAGAATACCATGTGGTCCAGCCATCCTGCTCCTGGGTGTCTGTGTATCCAAAGGAGAAGAAGCCAGCATACAGAAGAGCTGCCTGCATACCTGTGTTTCTTGCAGCACTATTAGGAATAGCCAAGAAATGGAATCCTTCTCAGTGTCCATCAGATGAGTAAACCAATAGTGTCTGTATACCCAATGGAATATTATTTAGTCATAAAAAAGAGAGCTATCCTTTGCAGGAAAGTGATTGGAACTGGTGGGCATCATGTTGAGTTTAATCAGCTAGACAGAAAGTATGTAGAAGCTAAAAAAAACAAAAACAAAAATACCCAGCAACCCTGAACGCAAAAGAGGTATCGCTAGGGCCTGAGAAGGCAGCTGGGGAACGGGAAGTAGAGCAGGTGGAAGAGTGGCTGGATATAATCACGGTGTACCCATGTGTGGAAGCTCAGTGAGCCCGCCGACCTGTATAGTGAATAAGTGTTAATGACTGCAGTGTTTAAAAGGCTGGTGAAGGCTGCCAAGGTCAGAGAAAGACTGAGTGCACGTCCAGGGTCCTTCAGATAGGGCTCTGCCAAGGAGTGAGGCCCAGAGCCACCTGTTTTTCTTGCTTTTTTTTTCTTTTGAGTGAGGTTAACCGTACCTCTGAAGGGGCTGAGTTGGCTTTTGAAAGAGGGAGTGGAGATCTAGGCGGAAGAATACAGTTCCCTGGCACATGGAAGAGCCAGTGCCATCGTGTGCTAAGGAGTGGGGAGTATGTGGGCCGGGGAGGGCGGCCTCGGGTCCTGGTTCTGGGGTGGAATTGCATCTCACACTGTGGTGTGACATCATAGCCAACCCCTGAGGACCTGCTGGTTTCCCCTGGTCTGTCTGAAAGATTCCCCCTTCTGGTTGTTGGACAGTAAGCACAGATTCCAATTCTGTGGTGTGTTTTATTAATCCACATCACATCCAGCCAGGCCTTCTGGGAAAAGCAGAAGTGCAGTTGAAGTCAAGTGTTCTGGCCACCTTCCTGCCCTGGCCCAGCCCTGCCTCTAGGGCTTGAAGGTGTCAGGCCCAGCACTCAGAAGTGCCCTTGGTGTGGGAAACTTCCTCGATGCCTGCCTGAGGCCCGGCTCTGGGTGTCCTCTGGGGAGCCTTGGCTTCCCGGTCCCCCTCTTCACACCAAGAGTCCCCCAGGGCTAGGACTCTTGGACGCTGGCCACCTTCAAGTCACTGGTGTTTTGCACTGGCGCCCTCTGTGGTGGGGCAGGGCAGCCTCCAGGACCCCAGACACCTTTGTTCAGTGTACGTCCTTGGGCATGTGCATTAGGTCAGAAGAAAGGTGGGGGAAGAACAGAGTTGCTGACAAAGCTGTCAGGCAGTCACAGAGATCTGACTCAGGTGTTGAGCAGATGCTGGTGGTGGGGCCTTGGGGAGTTTCATCCCCACGGAGCCTGGCCCTGCCAGGAACCTCTACATGGCTTGCTCCCCTGGTAGTGCGTACTGGTCAGTCCGAGTTTCCACGCCCTTCCTTGGGGATAGCTAGTGCCTTTGGGATGGTGTCAGAGGCCTGTGTGGTGGCTGGAGCCACAGCGGGACTGTACCACCTGCTTGTGTGGGGTTGTGCTTTCTCCTGGCAGGGTTCTCTAAACTCTTCCTTAGTTTTTAAGAAACCTTTTTGGGAAAATATACAAGTGTAGTGGGTTGCATCCCCTCTGCCTCCATCAGTATCCCTGGGTTTTCCTGCCATCCCTGCAGGTGGCCATGGACGTCCTCAACAGTGGGCGGTTCAGTCTGGGCAGCGTCGTGGCTGGGATGCTCAGGAAACTGATTGGTAGGTAAGTCGGGCCCACTGCAGTGCTGTCCCCCTCTGGCGTCCCCTCTGTGGCCAGGTGGCTCTGCCTTTCCCTTGGGTGGGCACAAAGAAGGGAGGAGGAGGCTGGGTGCTGGCAGAGGCAGGAAGGGTGGTGCTCTGCTCCTCCCAAGACCCTGTCTCCAGGTGACTGCACCGTGGTGAGGAGTGGTGTTGGACTGGAGTATAGGCCCTTATGGTCCCAGACCTTCCTTTTGTTCCTGTCCATCAGGGTACTGATAGCTGGAATTCTCCCATCTGTGACCTTAAATGCCCCGTAACCTTTTTGGCATGGTGACCTTGGGGAGGGAGATCCTGGGAAGAGCGTCCCCCTCCCCCCCAGCACTTTATGCCTTACACAGTTTGGGGAAAGTTGGGCACTTGAAGGTTCTAGCCAACTCTCTTCCCTCTGTTTGGTTGATGAGGAAACTGAGTCCCAGAGAGGGCACCATGCACCAGGGCCTCATTTCGTGTCCACTTCCAGCCCCAGCTCAGGGCTCCTGTTTGCTTGTTACTCAGTGCACAAGCTTCCTGCGTATGCAGGGTGGCCTGTCCCCAACAGGTGGCAGAATCTCTGAGGCGATCCCACGACTAGAAACAGGCAGATGTTGGACCCATCTTAGGGTCATGGAACTGGGTCACAAGTGTAGAAGCATTTGGAGATGGACTTCAGTGGGGCTGGGGGTGTTGGTGCCTGGGAGGGAGGCTATTGTGTCACACGGTGCAGAGAACTCAGCCCCATGCATAGCCATATGCCCTGAGCCCCAAGCCTAAGTTGCAGCAGGGCTGCCCCTCCTGCTGTGGCCCTGAGCACTTGTGATGGGAGCACTGTGCGCCTGGCTTCATGTGAGGTACCTTGTGTCCTCTGTTTGATGGCATCTTTGCAGTGACCCTGTGAGGTGGGCACTGTTGTCAGGGAGGTGGAGCTCTTAGCCTGGGCCCATACTGATAGGAACAGGGTGAGGTTCAGATCTGTGTGCACTGTCCTTCGTGCCACTGCCTGCAGGCCCCCAGTGAGCACCTGTCCTGCTGTACCCATGGATGCTGAAGTTGGCGGCTCTAGCTTTTGAGGCATCCAGTGTCAGCACACAATGGTTGGGGTGTTTGAAGGGTGGTGGTGATGGAGTTAGGAAATCACTTTTGGATAGGCAGGAAGTTTGCAGTTCTTTGTAACAACGCTGCTCTTTTTCAGAACTGACTGCTGAGTACGCCTGTGAGAGGAAGCAGTTCAACAGGAAGCTCAGTGAATTCGGGTTAATTCAGGTACCGAGGCTGTGTTTTCCCTGTGTGGTTGGGAAGCATGTGCTTGGTGACTGTCTCTGTCCCGGCCTTCCATACAGTGGATTGGGAAGAAGACTCAACGAGGCCCAGGTGGATAGGAACTCCTTTCATGAAGGCTGAGTTTGATTTTCCTGGGCCAATGAGGCTTTTGGCTCAGTTGCTTCTCTCCTGGATGGCAGACTTATGTCTCAGCACAGGGGCATTGCTTCTTGCTTGTGTTTTCTCTCAATGTTCCAGGAGAAGTTTTCGCTGATGGCTCAGAAGGCATACGCAATGGAAAGCATGTCCTACCTCACTGCAGGGATGCTGGACCACCCGGAGTGTCCTGACTGCTCTATTGAGACAGCCATGGTGAAGGTAATCCTGGTCCTACCAGAGCTGCTGCCAGAGGGGGAATGCAAGCAGATCAGGGAAGGGACTGGGTGGCACACTCCTTGTGCTGACTTCACCTGGTCTTGGTAGGTGTTCAGCTCTGAGGGTGCCTGGCAGTGTGTGAGCGAGGCACTGCAGATCCTGGGGGGCTTGGGCTACATGAGGGACCACCCCCATGAGCGCATGCTGCGTGATGCCCGTGCGCTGCTCTTCCTGGAGGTGAGTGACCTGCAGCCATCCACAGGCCCCCGTGCCCTGAGCTGATGCCCCACCTTCCCTCCTTGGCTTGTTGGTCTGGGAGTGCTGTGGAGCGTAGTCCCCATGTGGGCTGCCTCCTTCATGGGCCCCCTTAACCGTCATACCCTGCTCCGCACAGGGAGATCTTGCCTTCTGGAGATGCCAGGCAGCTGGGTCAGGCTACTCTCCAGAGGACCCTTTCCTGTGCGCCTCCCACTTCCTGGCGTCCTGCTGGGGTCTTTGTGAAGCCTGTCCATTTTCAGGAGGAGTTGGGCTTAGAGAAAGGAGTGCCCCATGCAAAGCTAGCCACTGAGTGGTGGCGGGTCCCAGTGGGAGGCCAGGCCACCACCCTACCTGTGTGCATTCCCTGACCCCTGGTCACAGCCCTGTCCCGTGTGCTTCTGAAGTGTGGCCTCCAATCATGAGCAGGCTGTGGCCTATGCTGTCATCTGGCACTGCTGGGGCTGCACAGAGGGGTAGCCTTTGATCTCTGCACTGCTGGCCACAGGGAACCAATGAGATCCTCCGGATGTTCATCGCTCTCACGGGCCTGCAGCACGCTGGGTGTGTCCTGACCCCGAGGATCAAGTAGGTTCCATTCCTGCTCTTCAGGCTCCATGCTCCGAGCTGAGAGGAAAGGGCTGCCTGCCCTGGGATGGGACAGAGTGGTGGGATAGACGGATGTGGTCTTGCCAGGCTCTCTGGAAGCCGGGCTGCATGGTGTGGGCCCTGCAGGTCGTGGGAAGTCAGACTCAAGCTTGTCCCTCTTTGCCCTGTCACATGGCTCCCATCTCTACTGGAGCTCCATCTCCCCCTCCCCTGCTAGCCCCTGTCTCTTACACTGTGTGGTCTGCATATGGGTGCTCAACCCTGAGGCTACCCTGAGACCAGCCATTTTCCTGCCCATCCTCCTTTCTTCCCCTCTGTACCAGGGCAGAACCATCAACTCCCTGCCAGAGCCCGAGCATAGGCTGCTGGTAGCATTTTTTCGGCACCTTGTTTGGAAGCTGACTGTTCTCTAACGGGTCGGGAGAATCATCTAGAGCCCAGTGTGCCCAGCCAAGGGTGGAGCACAGAGCTCGGGGGCCCTAGACTCACAGGACGGGGGGATTTCTGCAGGAATCTTAAAGAGGGCAGACTGGCTATAGCCCTGGAGACTATAACCCAGAGGATGTGGGACACCCTGGGCCGAACCGTGGACCTGGGGCTGATGGACGACCCTGGAGTTGTGCACCCTAGTCTTGGTGTGAGTAGGCTCAGCAAAGTCACCCCCTCCCACAAGAACTCCCTGTCCCGGGATATGATCCAGGGTCTGGGCCCCAACAGGGGAGATTGAGGGGTACCCTGATGTCCCTCCCAATCTGGGCCCCAGGCCCCGAGCCCCAGGGTGCAGTGTTGGGTGGGACAGAAAGGTTCCTGGGGGGATGGGATGCCAAGCTTAGTCCTGTCTCCTGGCTAAGCAGGACAGTGTCGCCAAGTTGGAGGAGAATGTGTATAACTTTGGCCGGACTGTGGAGACGCTGCTGCTGCGCTTCGGAAAGGTAAGCAGGTCTGCCAGGCCGAGGCACAGCTGACTCTCATGTGTGCAGCCTTGAGATGGGCTTAAGAGCAAGACCTTGGTCACCTGGCCCCACACCAGGGACTGACCTGTGATGTTGAACACACTAAGCATCTCTCTCTGATGTCAGCCACATTGCTGGGCCCTGGTCCTGCCTTTGACCCCTACCCAAAGACAGACAGTCCAAAGAGAAGGGGAACCCAGGACAGCCAGGAACCGCTTTCCACAGCTGGAGGGACACAAGAAGGCTGAGACTTCAGAGCTGTGGCCTGGGAGGGGCCTTGGGGCAGGAGCAGGTGTTCACGCCTTGCCATGTCCCCAGACCATCGTGGAGGAGCAGCTGTTGATGAAGCGGGTGGCCAACGTCCTCATCAACCTGTACAGCATGACGGCTGTGCTGTCACGGGCCAGCCGCTCCATCCGAATTGGACTCCAGGACCACGACCACGAGGTGAGCACTGCGCAGCCACACCCAGGAAACAGGCTTGGAGAGGCTGGGTGACCTGTTCAAGTCTGGGTCCAAGCGGGAACAGAGCCATGCTGTGGCCTCTGAGCCAGTCTGTGTCCCATTGCATGTTAATGAGGCTGGTGGCTGGGAGTGGGAGGCCTGGAGGAGGGGGTGGGTGAATTGGGAGCTGTAGTGCCCAGTGGTCGCTGAGACAGAGGAGGCTCAGGGTGCTCAGGGTGCTGCCCAGGGGACTGTGTGGCTTCCTGTGCTGTGGCTATGGAGGGACCATGCTCCCCCTGGAAAGGATCTCATCCTGTGGGCACCTTCCAGGTGCCAGCTCTTCACATGCACTGTCCCACCCTTGTGTGTGGACACTGGGATTGTGATGTCCACATCAGGGAGGGGTAAACAGACTCAGAGACCCCAAGTAGCTTGCTCTTGGGGACAGGGCAGCATGGGTCCAGGCTGCACTTAGCACCAAGGCTGTGTGACTTCTGACCCTGGCCTGACTACAGCTTGGTGACACTGGGCCCTTGGAGGTCAGAGATTAGCTTCAGGCACTCAGTGGCTGTCTGTTCCCGCCCCGGTTTCGGCAGGTTCTGCTGGCCAGCACGTTCTGCGCAGAAGCTTATTTCCAGAATCTCTTCAGCCTGGCACAGCTGGATAAGTGTAAGCAGAGTGGCTGGCTGGAGGGAAGGGGGCCGAATCTGGGCTTCTGTGCAGGGGGAGCTGTTTCTAGGCCTTGTCTACTGGAGTGCAGGTCTGGGTCAGGAGGCCTCCATGCTGCCCTTGGCGGCCCTGCAGGTGTCTGCCCAGTGGCTGGCCACAGCCTCACACCTGCCCAGTGGAGGTCACCGAGGAAGGGACAGCACTTTACCTGCCTCTGTAGCCCCCCATGCCAGCCAGAATGAGCTCAGATATTTTGCAGAGGACATAAGCCTTCTCTGGAGAATGTGGGACCTTTTCGTCCCTTCTCAGTTTGTCCAGAATGCTCAGGCTCCCCCACAGCTGCGTGGCCACATCGTGTGACCCTTATGGCCCAATGGGCTCTGACCAGTGTCCCCTGCTAGGCAGGCCCTGCTGCCAGTCAGAGTGCAGAGGGTTACTGTGGGGCTCGCCTGTGATTCCTGTGGTCCCAGGGGTGGTCCAGGCACTGGTATGGTGGATGGGACTGTGACCTCCTGTGGGGGTGACCAGATGGCTTCCCCTCTTGTGGATCGTTTGCTGAGCAGGGCCTTTCCCCAGCCCCACCACGAGACCTGGAGCTCAGAGGAGAGGAGGAATCTTTGTCACGACTGGCCACCCAGAATCACTCCCCAGGGGCTTGCAGTGGGGGTGACTTTGTTAAAAGTGCCCCTAGTGTCCTCACAGTGGCACAGGAAGAGCCCTACTCTCTCTCTGCCTTCTCAGATGATCCTGGAAACCTGGATGAGCAGGTTAAGAAAGTGTCTCGGCGAATCCTGGAGAAGCGGACCTATGTCTGTGCCCACCCCCTGGACAGGACGTCCTGAGGCAGGGCCAGCCCTGGGCCACGCAGCACCAACCTCACCCTGACAGCCTCTGGTGAACTGTTACCCCGTGAGGACCAAAGGGCTTTCTTGCCACCTGATTTTCCTGCAGCTGCCGGGTCATTCGTGGCTTCTCACAGACACCGAGAGGGTAGAAGTGCTGGGGCCTGACCTTGGCAGCTGTACTGAGTTCCAGACACCTCTGGGGAGGAAGCTATAGGGCCCTGTCTGAGGCATGGGCAGCCGTCTCCACCAGATCACATGTTCAAGAAACTGGAAGCTGTGTCCAGTTACTTTGGGAAACTTACTATGTGTGTCAGCATCATTAACAGAAAAATGTAAAATGGCACAATTTGTGTGTCTTCTTTTCTGGCCTTGCCACACTGCTAACATTAGTCCTCAGAACCAGCCTTTAGTAGCTGGGCCTGGTGGTACACACCTGTGATTCCAGCACTCTGGGAGGCTGAAGCAGGTCAAGCCCAGCCGGGGAACCTGGTAACACCCAGTCTCAAAGTAAGAAAGGGCTGGGGATGTAGCTCAGTACAAGGGTAAATGTCAGTGTCTCCTGTACATTTACATGGCAAAGCCCTGTCTTAAGCCTAGGACTTTACTGCCTGCCTGGGTAGCCTAACAAGACCTTGTCTCAAAAACATGTAAATTGAGGAGTGCCCAAGAATAAAAAATAGAAGCAAATATCTGGACATAATAAAATAGGACAGGTACAGATAATTTCTACAGCATGAAAGAATCAATTCCTGTTTAAAAAAAATTTTTTTTTTTTTTTGAGATGGTCTTGCTATGTAGTTCAGGCTCTTCTTTAACCCACAATGTATCACAGGCTGGCCTCAGACTTACAGCAGTCTTCCTGCCTCAGCCTCCTGAGTGAAAGAATTACAGGAATGTGCTATCACACCCAGCCTGAAGCCCCAATTCCTAACCCTGCTTTGAAGTGTAGGCAAATACCACAGGCAACACTTGGGGTGCCAGTACAGTGGTACTTTGGTTCAAAAACTTTATCCCACAGTTCTGGTTGTGAACTGAATTGGATGAGAACTGAATCAAATTCAATGGTTAGGTTCAATGTTGACCATATGGGGAAATTTGATTCAGTTCTCGTCCAAGTTGGTTTGTGACCAGAATTGTAGGAAGAATTAAGTTTGTGAACCAAGGTACCACTGTATCTGATTGAAAAACACAAGAAATCATTATTTTAGTAGCATCCCATTTTACAAGAGCACAAGCTATCTGCTTGAATCCAAAAAAACTGATATGATCATAACTAAGAACAGAAAATGTACACATGTCCAAGTGGAGAAGAATCATATTAGGGGGTCGAAATATCACAGATGGCTGATCATGGATTCCTAGCCTCTCTTGCAGATAGAGGAGGTATGGAGCAATTCTGGCATGAAATACAGACAGATTATTTGAAAGAGTGACTGAATACTACAGTGAGAATTCTGTGCAAGAAGGAAGGGTATACATAACTGTGACCACTGTGTTGCAATCTGAGAAAGTTAATGCATAATCAAATACACATTCACAGCCCCTGGGATTTCTAAAAGAGATCGTGTGCTCTAGCTTCTAAGAAACTCAGCCGAGCGGCGTGGACTGTGTTCCTGAGGAACATTCCCTGAAGCTGTGTGGTGGCTCAGATGGGAGGAAGGGAGCGGGTGGTAGAATTAGATGGAAAGCAGAGTCTCCCTGCTTCCAACCGTGAAAAGGGGGAGCTAAAGATGGATGGGACAAGTTGATTTTCACTTTCAAAACAAAATGAGAACAGAAAAAGTCAAAATGGATTATGGAGAGTTTTGAGGCAATGTGTGTGAGAAGGACAGAATAGGAATACAGAATATTGGTTTATTCATCCACAGACTCCCTAGACATTATCCATCCTAATGATCAGGAAAAAATGAATAAATAGACCGCTTACTGCAGGGGAAAGTTTTTGCTGGGCTTTAGGTGAAAGATACCCGTGAAATGCAAGCAAAAATAAAGAGAAAAAACTGCCAATCATATTTCCATCCTTGCACAATAGTGCTCCTCTGAAGGTAGGCTCTGTTACCAAAACTGTACACTTAAGAAACCTGCAGGAGAAGGAAGGTAATAGCATTTTGTCTGCGTGACAATCTGCAGTGTTGCCAGGTCAGTGCATAGATTGTACGTTTGTATGTGTGGTGTTTTGGGCTGGGGTGGACATTCTAGTGCCCCTGTCTTGAAGCAAGCCTCCCTAGAGCAGTTGGCTTCTATTTTTCCTGCAGGCTCTGCATCTGAGTTCTGCTGTGCAAGTGAAAAACAAGTTTGAACTTTTATTTGAGTATCATCTTTACCTCTAGACAATAGTATTTCAAGTTCCTTGAGAGCAACATCCCAGGGGCCACCTCCTCTTGGGCAGCCTTGCTCCTGTGCCTGTGTTAATGTGCTATTTTTAAGGATACTTTTGGAAATAATGCTAATGGAGTGTGCCAGAAGATCCAGTTTTTGGAGTTTGTTGAAATGATATGGAAGGCCCCATAATTTAAGAATATTTTGTCATGTCCTTTGAAGACTGAAATAGGGAGCCCTGTCCTCACCCATGGCTCTGTGTAGCCACAGAACATTCCCTCTGTGTCCATGCTCCTGTGTAATAGTCACATGTTCATAGACTCAGCAAAGGAGCAAATCTAGAAAATATTTCTAATTCTGCCACCAATGAAAAGAAAGTACTGAGGACCAGGGACATACAGACTTTTATAACCCTGGTGCTTGGTATTTTTCAAGGCAGAGAAACTATTCTGTATGATAATTGAATGGCTGAATACATGTAATTTTACATTTGTCTAAATCTAAATATTCACAGTTACTGTACTCTAATGTCAACTTAAAATTCATTTAATTTAATTTAATTAATTTATTTTTGGTACCAGGGATCGTACTTGGGACCTTGTGCTTGTGAGGGAGGCACCACTGAGCTAAATCCGCAGCCCTTAAAATTCGTTTTAAATTGATGAGTCATTGAATCATGAATTATTTTCAGGTAGGAACAGAGGATTAACTTTTAAAATATATAATTTATTTCAAATGCATGTGCAGCATTTTGTTTTATTAGTACATGTTTGTTTGGTTTTTTTAGGGGGTGGAACTGGGGATTGAACTTGGGACCTTGTTCTTGTGAGGCAGGCGATGGAACCACTGAGCTAAATCCCCCGCCCTATTAGTACTTGTTTATAGTACATAAAGTTTACAGTCATCTTGGAGTGTGAGTACTTGTATATAGTACAGCTTGATTCCTTTTTTAAATCCCCTTCCCTCCCTCCCGCCTCTTTCTCTAAGTCCCCTTCCCCCGTTTTTGTTCTTATTGATGCTATTAATCTTATCTCATGTTAGGACATATAATGTTTACATTCATTGAGGTTACTAGATTCCTGAACCTGGCATATCTTTATTCTAGTGATTTTTCCCTCCCCTCCCCCTCTGCTCTTGCCCATTCTCTTGGACTCCTTTCCATTTGCAAGAGAGCTAGTCTGTTGTCTCCATCCTTTATTGTGTTCTTTGTTTATACTTTCCTTACTCAAATGAGAGATACCATACAGTAAACATGTGTGTTTTATTTAACTCAACATATTTTGTAGGTGCATCCATTTTCCTACAAATGTCTCACATTTGTCCTTTATCGCCAAGTAGTATGTTATTAAATATAGATACCGTATGTTCTTTAACCAATCATCTGTTGATGGGCATATGGACTGCTTCCAAGATTTAGATATTATGAGTTGGGCTGCTGTAAGCATTGGTATGCATGTATCACTTTATTATGATGTCTTTAGCTCTTGGAAAAAATACCTAGATGGGAAATAGCTGGGTCATATGGAATTGTGAATTTTAGTTCTTTGCGAAATCTCTATACTGATTTCCATAATGGTTGTACTAGTTTACCTTCCCACCAACAATGTAGGAGTGTTCTCTTCACTGCAGCAACACCAGGATTTATTTTTTTATTTCTTAATGATTACCACTCTTTCAGTTGTAAGATGGAATTTTAGCATCATTGTAATTTGAATTTCTCTGATGACCAGAGATACTGAACATTGTTTCATATATTTTTTGGTTATTTGTACTTCTTCCTCTGACAAGTGTCTTTAGTCATTTCACTTGCCCATTTCTTGATTGGGTCTTTCGTTTTAGATGGTCTATTTTCTAGAGTTCTTTATTCTAGGTATTAGTGCTCTGAGGAATAGCTGGAAACTTTTTTTCCTATTCTGTAGTTTATCTCTGCACTCTACAAAATTATTCCTTTGCTCTGCAGAAGGTTTTTAATTTGATATAATCTGATTTGTTGATTCTTGGTGTTATTTCTTGGGCAATTGTGCTGTTTGGGAAATCATTGCTTAACACTTGAAGTGTTTCACCTAATTTTAACTTCCCATAGGTTCAGTGTTTCTGTTTTAATATTTAAATCTTTGATCTATTTTGATTTTAATTAGTACAAAGTGAGAAATGTAAGCCCAGTTTCAATCTTATGGAAACATACTCAAGTTTTCCCAGCACCATTTGTTGAATAGGCTATCTTTCCTCCAACATAGGCTTTTGGTCTCTTTGTTAAAGAACAAGTAACTGAATGTGTCTGGGGATGTTTCTGTATCCTCTGTTCTGTCCCATTTATCCACATGTCTGTTTTTGTTCCAATACCTTGCTGTTTTTATCACTGTTGCTTTGTAGTATAGCTTGAAACCAGGCAATGTGATGCATCCTGATTTGCTCTTGTTTCCTAGGGTTGCTTTTATTATCCTGGGTCTCTTCTGGTTCCATATGAATTTTAGGATTGTTTTCTTTAGATATGTGAGTATGCTGTTGGTATTTTGATTGGAACTCCATTGAATCTGTATTACAGTTTTGAGAGTATGGCCATTTTGACAATATTGGTTCTACTTATCCAGGAGGAGAGAACATCCTTTCCATTTTCTGATGTCCTCTTTGATCTCCTTTTTAGAAGTATGGTAGTTTTCTTTGTAGAGGTCTTTCACTTCCTTAGGTTAATTCCTGGGTATTTCATTTTTCTTGGTGCTACCATGAATGGTGCCCCGCCCCCCCCATTTCCTTTTCATTGAGTTCATTATTAGTGTACACAAATGCTATTGATTTTGTATCCTGCTACATTGCTGGAATAGGTTATTCTATGAGTTTTTTGGTAAAATTTTTGAGTCTTTTATGTAGAGTATCATCTCATCAGCAAATAATGATAATTGGAGTTCTTCCTTTCCTCTGTGTATCCCCCCCCCCCCCCAGTGTTGGGAATCAAACTCACCACAGCCTTGCACTTGCCAGACAGGCATGGTGCTGCTGAGCTACATCCCCAGCCCTATGTATCCC